CGCTCTGATGATGTCCGTCATATGACGGACGAAAGCTTAGCACCTTTTCACCGCAATCGAAGGAGATTGCTTCGGAAACAGCTTCAGCATGACAGCTGTCGTTTTCTGTTGGAACCAACCTTCGAATCCCTTCACCCAACACTTTCACTCGAAGTGGAAGTAAGCTCAACAAGAATAATTTGTCGTCATTTTCTGGGGGGCTCGACCTACACGAATCTTTCCATCCTACAACTTTACCCGGCATGTAAGTGATTTCAACATTTATAAAACAAGATATTTTTCAAAACCAAAATTTTCTTCGCATACTCCAGCTTTAAATGATGCACATTTGCGGAATGGCGTAAGCAATAACATGATTTCCCAGCCAAAACGATACCTCATATCAGCTTGACCAAAATAAAATGTATCTTCCTCTCCAACAGCCACAAGCCTAGGCTGGGCAGTGATGGATTAACGAGGATGCTTGCGTCTAAATGTATCGGTGCATGAACATGTTGTATATACGAAGAAAAGGTGGATTTTGATGAATTTTCTGAGACAACATTGTTGGGGAGAGTTCAATTTCATATGAAAGTGCATGATGAAGAGATTCGATAAAAGAAGACACATGATTCCAGTTTTACTGCAGCCATTTGACTTAAATACAACATTCAGATTGACGCAGTCCAGGTGAAATGAATCTGCGTTTCTGGTGGAAATGAAAAGAACTTTCTTCTAGACATCAGAGCTTGGAAGCCGTTGTCATATTCTGGTGAGATCGAACTACGAGTCTCTTCATCATTCGAAGTCTAAGCATGAATGGATAAGATTACTTGGCAGATGCCTTGTCGAGCCCGAACATGGGCATTTGTGATAAATATGAAATCCAGGCAGTTTTTCACGCTGAAAGATTCTTGCTGCTGTCATAGTATGCCAAAACAGGCAAGACTGGCTTCAGGGAGAGCAGAGCTGGTGGCGATTTCTCTGAACAGATAAGCAAATTTGACTTGGGCTAAACGAGTTAATAGTCTCGCCAAGATCACTGGGGGTCGCCAGGACAGTAACAGGCCAGAAAGCCCATACACACACGACCATGTACTACGGCATGATCCATCACTCATACTACGATAACTTGCCGATCTAAACCTCTCTCTATCCGGGTTTAAGTGTACGTGT